GTCGAGCTGTGCAGAGTGATCCCAACAGTTACCAATACACTAAATTGCTTCTCTGGTAGGTGATATAGAAGGGGAAAAAGGGATACAGTTTCTCTGTTAGTTACAGAGGCTTTCAGCCTTACTCAGCTCTTCCATGAGGTACTGCAGCCCACGGGAGGGATGCAAGCATGTTTTGTACGTGCAGTTTAATGTCACAGAAGATGCATTTCTTACACAGATGCTTTATGAAGTCTTGGAATGAATACATGTACAGTATCAGTAACGCATAGCTCGTCCAAGACTATAGAACCATGGTTTGTCCAAGACTATAGAAGCAGCTGCTGATTTTGGAGTCGACTGGGTTCCTCCTTTCCTTCCAGAAAGGCAGGATAATAGGCTGGAGGTCTGTTCTTTAACCTTCTTTAAAACCTGTTCATGAGTGAGAGCTTCACTTCTCTCAAGTGGACAAATGTAGATACTGATATGAACCTAGTGTCCATGCTTTGCAAGTTTGAAGTATTCTGTCAGTATGTCCGTGTTCTAAGTGAGGTCAAAACTAGCCTCATGTTTGTTTAAGATGGTATAATTGGCGTGACAATTACATCTTCTATTGTATAACCTTGTAAGTACTAATATTTTAAGAAAAGATTTTTGAACCCAGTGATACATGTTGCTTATTGAATAATAAGTCCTTTATTAAACAGGGAGAAGAGAGCATGGTGGAGTTGTGAGGTGTATGAGTGTGATAGCAAGGGGGAAAAACCTTAGAGAAGATATGAGGGTGGGGGGGAACTCCTGTATAGCTCCTTCAGTCAAGTATATATGGTTCGTGATCATGGGACTGTATGAAAATCATCTGCTCTAGTTCTGCTGAGCTGTCATTTGTGTCTCAAATTCAAGGAGAATTTGAACACCCTTTGTCCCTTTGGCAACCCATGACAGCACTCCTTACATCTATAAAGGCATGAAACCAAGGAGGGAAATAAGAGGCACCTTGCTGGCAAATGACCTGTGTTTTTGGTTTTTAAATGTGTCTGTGCATTCAAGTTTGGTATTAGTAGTTAATGGACAGTTTAACTTATGTTTAGCAAGTATATCTTTTCTAATGTCTTTGACAGAGTTCATCCAACCATGAAAATGGCTTACTCTTTCATGCTACTTATGTGAGCTTTCATTGTATTTCTACTCCCACTAAGTATTCTGGGCCAGCAGACTCTGATAGGAAATCTGTCTTTTCTCCCTTTCCCTCTTTTTTTACTTATGGTTCAGGTTTCTTTTAGTTTTCTAATGTTTTACTGCTGTAGTAGTTGAATTCTTCTTTGCTTCTATTGAGTTTGACGTAACAGTAGTGGAGGCAGGTTTTAATCTTCAGCGATGAGCTACATAGGAGAAAAGACTGAACTACTGGCCAAAAAGTACGCTTTTCTGGATAATTGCGACTGTTTCAGTATCGAAATCTTGAGCAGCAAGGTTTCCTGATGCTCCATTTCCCTTCAGGAGGAATCACAGTTTTAAATACTTCATACTTCAGGAGGAGCCAGATTTTTTTGACAGGAGCATAAAAATTAAATAAATTTGTCATACAGAAGTACAGCCTAAGCTGTGTGCAAAGGTTAATAGAGTGCCTGAGAAGGTTTTTCTTCTCTTGCCTCTAAAGTGTATGTCTTATTACTGGTATTTCTTTGAATACAAGCTCTTGAATTTAAGCATGAGATCTTAAGTTTCTAGTGGATGTGAGGATAAGCTGGAAGAATGCAAAGTCATACGAGTACCTCATCACCCTGCAAGGCTGAAACTGCAGTGCAGTTGATGTGAAAGAAGAATAGTTGGTGCTCAGAAAAGCCTCAGTTTTCTAAGGAGCAGTCCATGCATTTGCATTCTGTTAGTGGTCTAATACGCCAGGATGTTTTACTTAACGATTTGGTCAGTTGAATGTGGAATCACCACATACATACCTTTAGCATTTTAGATTTTTTTTATCCTGATGCCCTTCCATCCTATTTTGTACTTTCCTCTGTTGCATACATTCTTATATAAACTAGCATTTGTAATGAAATAATTTGTCTTAGAAGCTCGGTCAAGGTAAAAAGCCCAGAAGTGTGTAATTAGGTAATCTTGAACATTACTTGAAGTGAAGTTGTTAAGTTTTCTTTCCTCTCCTCCTGAAAAAATGAAATGATCAAAAAAAATTCCCCAAACCAAAACAGAGAAAACCCCCACTACCACTTTTCCTGACTTAGCAAGCTGCTTTTTTTTTTTTTCTTTGTTTCATTTACCCTCATCATTGATTTCTAGTCTAGACTTAACTTTTTTCCAAGATAGTTTTGAGTAACTATGTTTTCTGTCATAAGGGCATGCTGTCCTCATAGATTTAGGTGAACTTTCCAGTGTTCAAAATGCATTGAGTGTTGGCTTAACCTTTAATAAATATTTGTTGTTGAGTTATTTTGTGAGAGTTTAATGTAAGTGCTGAAAACGTTGTAACTGAAACAGAGTAATATCACTATTAAATATAGAAAAAAGGGTATATGTTTGCAAAGTGTTCTTATGCAAGCACATTAGCATAGTTTTATCAAACATTACCCACCTAGGTCTTTAGGAGTATAAATTCTTCACACCTTCAGTTATTGTAGGAGGCCTTGAGTAGCTACAGTCTTGAGGAGCTAAAGATGCACTCTGATACCCTCAGCCACCAAACTGGAGTATCTGGCCACTCTAGATAACGCAGTTAGTGGTGGTTCAGCTTTCATCGAGCAAATCGCTACAGCAGTGGAAAACTACTGTTCTGTAATGCAGCATCCAAAAACACCCGTGTGATCTTCAGTTGTCTTGTAGCTGAGGATCTGTCTAGCTCTATGTTGCTTATTTTGCGGCATCTGCAATTTTCATAGCAACAAAAGCACATCTTACTGCCAAGAAGTTTCACATAGTCTTGAGAAATTAGTTGTAAATGATTTCTGATTGGTTTACGATGGCATCAGAAATGAACAAACAAGCAAGCCTTTATTTGAGCCTCCAATTTAGTTTATACTGCAGTGCACTGAAATACTTTAAAAAACTAAATCAGTATGCTTAATATAATCTGAAATTTTGTTTATATACTCTACTGGGTCTGACCAAGCATGCACCTAGCCTTGCATGCTCTTTCTGACAGTGAAATGTGGTAGGTACTTCAGAAAGGAGTAGAACAGCTCAGTTGCTGGAAGCTTTCTGTCAAGATGTGTGTGCCAGGTACGTGAGTGCAGGCTGAGTGTCATCCTAATGTAGCTAAGCTCTCCATTTTAGGTCGGCTAGATCTTGGAACAACACTGAAAACACTGGCACAGTTCTTCCAAAGTTGGGAGCCTACTTGTGACCAAACATCCCGTATGTTGTGAAGCAGAAATGATAAGAATTCAGAGAACTGAATTTTGAATTCTTTTTTGTAAAATATTAGTCTAGATGCAATTTTTACTTCTTAATGAGCTTTTATTGTCTCCATGTTTACAGAGTGGTTTGAAAAATTGCAAGATACGTTATAGAATTTTAATTTTTAAAAGAAGTTGAGACATGTTTTGGTGAAGTAGTAAATTCTTGATATAAAGTCATAAACGGTTTGTTTGTTTTCTCCTCTGCACAAATTACGTAGATCAAAAGATACACCTGGATTCTTCGGAACATTTTCTTGCCTCCTTTCTCAGGTGTTTATCCCAATCTGAGAAGCTGTGTTGTTTGGCTCTTTTAGATAAATAATATTCCTTAAATTTAACAAAATATCCAGTGAAGAAATACTTGGATATCTGCTGTCCCAAAATGACATTTGAGTATGAAAATTATAACCCATATTAACACAAGTGCACCATTTTCCTCTGATGTGTACTTCAGTTGCTTTTTTTTCTTTTTTCAGCAACTATAACAAGTTCATCAGAAACTGATGATCGTAGTGGATCCAGTTTGGAATGGAGCAAGGATGGGAGTCTCCAAGCTGGAAAACATCAAGGGATTAGTCATGATCGAAGAACAGATAATTGTTCACCTGTTGCAGAAGAGGAGGCCATTGGATCTGCTGAGAATTTGCCAAAAGAAGTACCAGCAGGAGAGGGTCCCGTTCCTTATGCTCAAAGTTCTGGCTCTTTAATAATGCCTCGTCCAAACTCTGTTGCAGGTAAAGTCCTGAGGTAGAAAACAGGATGTTCTCAATGATAGGACATTTCTGTTGAATCTTTCTGTTCAACTTATGTTGTTAGTATGAAATTATTTTTATACAAAAATAAAAAAGCCTAGGTTCTAAATTGAATAGATGAGCATTACCTAAGTTGTTTAAAATTGTCATAGAGAGGGCTTTTATCATGCTTTTTAGTAGGTATTGGTTCAGTCAGAAATTTTCGAACACTGTAAATATCCATCAGTCATTCTAGGACTGTATCTGGTGTCAGCTAACTCCTTGAGGTTGTTGCTTTTGTGTGTGCTCACATTTGCTAGATGTGTAAATCTGACTAAGATCAAAATCATACTTTGATCTCTGTTGAATGAGTTATGTATACATTTTTTGAAAGAACTATGTGAAATTCTGCCTTCTGATAGCAAGATGAGTCAGTTCAGTTGCGATAGATACGTATGTGGCCTTACCACCACTTTTTCTGGGAGTTGTGAAATGGACACATCTCTGAAGAAGCTCTTGAAATTTAGTAGAGCCCATCGAATTGTAACAGTAATGGGCAATTCGCTTACTTCAATGTAACCCTGCAAGAAAGATGTTCTGATCGTGTTCAGAAGCATGGGTGCCATGTATGTGGCAGTAGGTTTAGCTAAATAAGAAATCAAAGTTAAACTTTGTAAATGCAGAGTGAAAAAAACTTCAGGAATGAGGTTAGGGCTTGGGAGTTGGTGATTCCTAGAGGGAAGAGAGGAGGATATTACACTTCATTCCAGATGGAAAATATTGTCAGTAAAAAGGAGTATTTTTAGTATAAAAGATGAAGCAAAAATTGATGCATAGCATTTTCTTAGTATGCCAAGATGTACAAGGGAAATACTGCTACTAAACCAACTTTTGAAATTGCCAATGGCAAAATTTTGGCAAAGAACCTGCTAGCAATTTTGCTGAGAATCTTTGACTTCTGACAATACCACTTTAAATTTTTGAAGGTTTTGGATTGTAATATGAGCACTAGTTCTGTGGTTTCATTGTGATGGCACAAACATGTTGGTTCAGCTGGGGCGGGGCGGGGGGAAGAAACATTCTCCATTTCATTTTCAAAGGAAGTATATAGTATGTTTATTCGAGAAAAGTCCAACAATTTGTAATATATTGGAATTGCAACAGAAAAAGATGCTAGTATGCAGCTCAGTAAATGTTATCAAGAGCTTAAGACTTGTCAGTAATAACCAAAATCCGATGCTAAAAAAACCAGTTGTAACATTTAGAATGCTTCATGAAGTGTCATGAAAGATGCTGAAACACGTACTACATTCTTAATTTGAAGTTTTAAAATACATTGAAAGTTATTAGCATATTGTTTCAAAATTCTGCTGTTGAAGGATTATTTTGCAGCAACATGTTATGATAGGAATACAGTAATGCCCAGGTTCACAGGGGAGAGAGCATACCACAGTTCTCCGTAAAACCGCTT